AAAAAGGGGCAAAAAACAAGCATTTTTCTAGTTTCATGACAATAACTTGTGTGTAAGTGTTTGGATATTTCTGAAATTGTACTACAAGGTTCCATATCACAAAGGGAAAGCTGGAATTGAGTTTGGGTGTAATTGCCCGAAACGTTTAGGAATTGGGGGCCAAAAAGGGGCCAAAAATAAGCATTTTTCTAGTTTCCAGACAATAACTTGTGTTCAAGTGTATGGATCTCTCTGAAATTGTACTGCAAGGTACCATACCACAAAGGGAAGGCTGAGATTGAGTTTGGGGGTGATGAATCATAAGGGGGTTCAAAAAATTTGGGGGGGGAGATTTTTTTTTTTTTTTTTTTTCTTTTTTTCCTTTTTTTTTTCTTTTAAAATTTTCCATTTTAAGTTGATTATTTCTGATTTATATTTAAAAGCAAATAATAATGATATGGTAGGAGATACACACCAAACAGGATGTGTAAATTATTATATAATAAGTATTGTGCAATAGCAAGAAATTTTCAATTGCACAGTATTGCACAATAGCAAGAAATCTTCAATTGCACAGTATTGCGCAATAGCAAGAAATCTTCAATTGCACAGTATTGCGCAATAGCAAGAAATATCCAATAGCACAATATTGCGCAATAGCAAGAAATTGTCAATTGTACAGTATTGCGCAATAGCAAGAAATATTCAATTGCACAGTGTTGTGCAAAAGAAGATACTTCGTATAAATTGCTTATTTCTTGATCAATTTCAATGGGGTTTTATTCTTGAATTCTTGGGGTTCTTTAATATGCTGAATCTAACCGTGTATTAAGTTTTTGGATTTTGGGCCCCGTTTTTAAATTGGTCCACATTGAGGTCCAAAGGGTCCAAAATTTAACTTTGTTTGATTTCATCAAAAATTGAATTATTGGGGTTCTTTGATATGCCGAATCTAACCGTGTATTTAGATTTTTAATTTGGGGTCCCGTTTTTTAAATTGGTCTACATTAAGGTCCAAAGGGTCCAAAATTAAACTTAATTTGATTTTAACAAAAATTGAATTCTTGGGGTTCTTTGATATGCTGAATCTAAACATGTGTTTAGATTTTTGATTATGGGCCCAGTTTTCAAGTTGGTCCAAGTTGGGGTCCAAAATTAAACTTTGTTTGATTTCAACAAAAATTGAATATATGGGGTTATTTGATATGCAAAATCTAAACATGTATTTAGATTTTAGATTTTTGGCCCAGTTTTCAAGTTGGTCCAAATTGGGGTCCAAAATTAAACTTTGTTTGATTTCAACAAAAATTGAATATATGGGGTTCTTTGATATGCTGAATCTTACCATGTATTTAGATTTTTTATTTGTGGGCCTGCTATCAAATTGGTTCATATTGAGGTCAAAAGGGTCCAAAATTAAACTTTGTTTGATTTCATAAAAAATTGAATTATTGGGGTTCTTTGATATGCCAAATCTAACTGTGTATTTAGATTTTTAATTTTGGGTCCTGTTTTTTAAATTGGTCTACATTAAGGTCCAAAGGGTCCAAAATTAAACTTAGTTTGATTTTAACAAAAATTGAATTTTTGGGGTTCTTTGATATGCTGAATCTAAACATGTGTTTAGATTTTTAATTATGGGACCAGTTTTCAAGTTGGTCCAAGTTGGGGTCCAAAATTAAACTTTGTTTGATTTCAACAAAAATTGAATATATGGGGTTCTTTGATATGCTGAATCTAAACATGTATTTAGATTTTAGATTTTTGGCCCAGTTTTCAAGTTGGTCCAAATTGGGGTCCAAAATTAAACTTTGTTTGATTTCAACAAAAATTGAATATATGGGGTTCTTTGATATGCTGAATCTTACCATGTATTTAGATTTTTTATTTGTGGGCCCGCTATCAAATTGGTTCATATTGAGGTCAAAAGGGTCCAAAATTAAACTTTGTTTGATTTCATCAAAAATTGAATAATTGGGGTTCTTTGATATGCCAAATCTAACCGTGTTTTTAGATTTTTAATTTTGGGTCCCGTTTTTTAAATTTGTCTACATTAAGGTCCAAAGGGTCCAAAATTAAACTTAGTTTGATTTTAACAAAAATTGAATTCTTCGGGTACTTTGATATGCTGAATCTAAACATGTGTTTAGATTTTTGATTATGGGACCAGTTTTCAAGTTTGTCCAAGTTGGGGTCCAAAATTAAACTTTGTTTGATTTCAACAAAAATTGAATATATGGGGTTCTTTGATATGCTGAATCTAACCATGTATTTTGATTTTGGACATTGGACCATAATAGGTAAATTAAAAAAATTGAAGTTCTTAGACCACATTCTTTCTGTGTCAGAAACCTATGCTGTGTCAAATATTTAATCACAATCCAAATTCAGAGCTGTATCAAGCTTGAATGTTGTGTCCATACTTGCCCCAACTGTTCAGGGTTCGACCTCTGCGGTCGTATCAAGCTGCGCCCAGCGAAGCATTTTATTATATACAAATATAGATTCTTTTAAATTGATTATTTTTTAAAGATTCAAGTGGTTAGTGATATTAAATAGATCTGAAGTGATTGTGAGGTGTAGATACTAATTGAGATTATGGATGAATTTGATTTCTTATATAATTTGATAAGTGGTATAAATTTATTTGGAAAACATTTTTCACCCAATGCACATCCAATTGATCAAATAAAATGACATTGTTTTAACCATTAAGTTTTTTTTAGCACTATGTTATTACCATGATAGGTCCTTCATTTTGAGTCCGGTGCGTCCGCTTTAAACTTGAATAAATGTTAACAGTTGTTTAATTATCATAAAAATTAGTAACAAGGAATTTATTTATTATTTTTTGTCTATTTTTTTTTTTTTTTGGTGGGAGTGGGGGGATTCTCCTACCAAAACTTTGAATGATATTAAGTTTAATTATTAGAACTAAAAAATATCTTTTCATTTTTTTTTTTTGGAGGGGTGACTCCCTTGCAGAATTAATTAGTTTATTTGAATAAATGCACAGTTATACCCCAATGGGGTTGATGGCATACATGAAAATTAACAAAATAAGAAAGTACATAGTAAATGACAAGAATAATAAAATACAAGAGAATTAATGTAGATTTAGTGATGTAGGTTATGTAGCTTGCTAGATGTAAGGGTCTTTAATAATTCAGGTAAATTCTGCAGTTACATATAAGTTGTTGTATAAACAAACAGAACAGTTTTTGTCACGCTTCTACGAAGTTGAAAAAGCGAGACTTAAATATGTTGTTTTATAAGCATTGGCATTTTTCATTTCCGTGGACATTATTTTGCCCTGCACCTTTAGTCATGGTTCATTGACTTTGAATGTTTTGCATAGTTTACATGTTTAAATATTGACATTTTTCATCTTACTATCTACTAATAGTGTTAGCCCTTTTCACAGAAAAAATCTTGAGATTAAATAAAATTTGGTCGTAAGTTATACTGAAATGTTCATGACAAAATAAATCTCTTTACTTACATGTACATTTACCTACCTGCTTCTGAAAAGTAGGGTAGTAGTTTCAAACATTTTTGAATGTGGCTTAATGATTTTTCAAACTGTCCAGTATACATATATACTGTATACATTGCAAGGGAATATTATTGTATATGGTTGATCCCCTCTCGTTGTCTTCAAAAACAATAATTATAAAAAATACATGTACATTTGTAAGAGGCAAATCCAAAAACTCCAATGCTCTAATTCTTTGACCTACAATATATGATCTATTTATTTACCTGTAGTAATATCATTTTACACGAAAGCATTCAAAATATTATTTATTTATATTTTATAATGATGATAATAATATGTAGATATATTCGGAGAAAGTTTCTCATTAATAATTGATATCTGATGAAGCATATTTAGATAGGCTGATAGAATGACATGGTTGTTTTCCTTCTTCATTGGTCCCACATGTATTTCTCAGAAATAATTGCTTATTAATTACTAGCTTATTGATAATATTTAAACTTGGTAACAGGTTAGATTTTCCTCTCTCAAGTTCATTTACAGTGGCTTGATTGTGTTGCAGTTGATTCAAAATTATGACCCAATTGCAATTTGTTTATATCAAATGTTTTAAAATTTTAAGATGTAAATGATGACAAAATGAAAGTTTAATTTTTTATTGACAATTTTCACTTTTGCTGTTCAGGAATTATGGTCCTTGATTGATTGGAAAACTCTATGTCGATTTCATGCCATAATTTGAGAAGGACTGACCTAAATCCTATTAAAATGGAGGGCAATAATAGTTTTGGCAATTCTAACTTTTGTCATACTTTAACCTATAATGGTTTACTTTTACAAATTGTGACTTGGATGGAGAGTTGTCTCATTGGCACTCATACCACATCTTGTTATATCTACTTGAAGAAATTCTGCTGGTCTTTGCTATTACTTCTATTGAAAAATACCAAAATTGTATCTGTCCTTGCAAAATTTTGGTGATCAAAACCTATGGACCACCACTTTTCGAGAACTCTGAAGTTTGTTAAGATAATGAAGAAACAAGTAGCCAATGCTCTGTGTTGAAGGCCGTACCTTGACCTATAATGGTTTACTTTTATAAATTGTAACTTGGATGGAGAGTTGTCTCATTGGCACTCATACCACATCTTCCTATATCTAATTAGTATTAACTTGAGGACACTGTATCATTACACAACCAACTACTGTACATGTAGTAATGATAACGTATAAAGTGCCATACCCTTCAGTGTGTTCTATATAGTACAGCCGATAATCATGCACACTGCACACGCTATAATCGATCATGATTTGCCTATTGATATTTTGGTCTAGCCAATGTTTTACAAATAATTTGTTGTAATGTATTTTACAACTGCTTCTATCTTTGAGACTATCGATTACAAGCAGAATTACATAATTAAATATTATTCACCAATATTATCTCATGTGGTTCATTTTTAGTGCTTGATGACCTTTTACTAATGCTCAATAATTCATAGTTCCTTTTCTCTTTTTGTAGATTCACAGATGAAGAGTCATGAAAATGAAGAATTTTTTACTTTGTGATAAAAGGAATATGAATAAATTAAGGGAAACCAAACAAGCAAATAAATCTGAACCAAATCAACCAAAAAATATTCTTTTTAATGATTCCATTTAAACTTAACTTTTTTAAACTGTGTAAAATTATAAGTTTGGTTTATACATTTTGTTTTCCCAGGTACAAAGCACTTTTAATATGCTTTCAAGGGGAAAATATGGGACTAAATTATTACGTTTAATGCAGTGCATATTCAAAAGGCTTTGTCCTTTCATAATATCTATTTGCTATAGATGTGTAGTATGAATTCATCTCTTCAAACTGATCAACTGTTAATGTTTTAGCTCAATGCTAGTGTTGTTTGTATGAAGCAAGTACAGTGTAATACAAAATGTTCTTACCATCCATTGATTGAATGTCTGTGTCTTGAAATCGGTACAGTTTTGAACACCTACTTTATCATGAACAGGGTTTTAAAAATTTGACTTGTATATGAAAACTTCTATTATGATGACATATTATAAGAAATTAGTTCTTGAATTTGTTTTATTATGCCATGATTTATTGCTTTGTTTTCTATCAAAAAGTTTGTGTGTACTTGTAATTTGAATATATTTTCTATATTATCGTCCCTCCCTTTGCCTATATCATGTATATCGCCTTGCTCAGTCGCTCTGTAATTCTAGTATCAAGGGTTTGGGATGTGAGCAGACATTATCAGTAATAAAACGATAAAAAGATTATCAGGTTTTCTACGTATAGATAACGTAAAATATCAGCCGCTCAATTCAATGTAAAGTTTTTTGCTCGTTCGCTGAGCTAACTAGCCAAAAAAGCTTGTGGCTGATATTTTACGATATAAATGTGTAGAAAACCCTATAATCTATACATAGTACATTTGTAATTACTGAAGCTACTGATATTAGGTCCTTTAGATATAAAATATTCAGTTTATTGAAAACTATAAACTTCAACTTAACTTATTTCTAATATCTCTATAATCTGAAAAATACTTTTCAAGGAACAGATAGATATTAAACAACAATTCTGTGGCTTTTGATAAATTTGAAAGTGATTGAAAACAGTTTCGAGTGTCATGAATTAGATTCACAATGGACCCCACCATACATTGATATTTTTCAAGGGAAAAAAAAACTGCAGGGGAGATAATTTTACAATATAATAATGACATGTAATCATTATCTTTAGACTGGGCAACACACAAATAAGATTATGTCTTTTTTATTTCATGTTTTCAACCTTTTTTACAAAATTTTCACTCATCTAAACAATAAAAAAGATAGTTCAATAACCATGATAACTATGGAAACAAATGTTTAGAACAAATTACTTATACCTTGTCATTATAATGAAAGTTGATTCCCCCAAGTCAATACCAACAATGTATTAGTTTGTGATTAGGTCAGTATAAAATGGAACCGTTGGTGGTAGGGCAATGTTGTTTGGTATGCAGTTGAATTAGCATTGGCATTTCTCTCTTTCACTGAGGTAATTTGGCAATGCACTTTCAGTCATGGGTCATTGACTTTGAATGTTTTGCATAGTTAACATGTTATTAAAGTATTGCCATTTTTAATTTCAACATTTGCATTATACTATCAAAATAACATAAACTTAAAAGGCAAGACATATCTCTGTGTCAACAGTTTATATAAACTAATGTTCCTTATAACTAGGTGCTCAAATTACATCTGCCTCTTATCGAAACAGAAGTCAATGACTGGAATTGGATGGTAAAAAATAAGATTTATTACACTGCACTTGCTTCATAAACTAGTAACAACCTTTTTTTTTAGCAAAAGACCAAAATTTTTCAACATATTTGAAGAGAGGAATTCAAACTGCAGTTTAGAAAGACACTGGCCATGGCCAATTGGAATATTGAAAGGACAAACCTTTTTGAATTCACATTTTTTTGTTCCTAAGTTCTTAGGCACTGGATATTGCGCATCAGTCAGTATTAATAAACCAAATCTGCATCAACAATATGTCCATGATTGAAGAATTTTTATTCAACCCTTGAAAGTGTTATTCAAATTGTGAAATTAAAGTGGTGGAACAACATACAATGTAACAAAAAATTAAAACTTCATAATAGACCAAAGACTTATAGATTTTACAACATTACCCACAAGTATGAAATATACATAGACACACATTACACCTCATCTTGATTGGTGAATTGCAACAGAAAAAATACATGTAGTTTAAGTAAAACTTAGCACTATTTGGTCTATGTATTTCAACTGTATATAGTAAATGTGTCTATTATAGTCTCTCAGTACAGACACTTGTACTGTCTGTGTACTTCAGTGATATGTGATAATAGACATGGGTCACAGACACTCACAGTAGCGACAGTCATGACAGTACTGTCCGTCTGCTACAGTGTCCTGTGTTTTTCTACAATGGTAATAGTCACAAAACTGTCAATTTACTAGTGTCACATGATTTTAAACATTGTTCAGTCACATTTATCTATTACACTAAGTACTTTAGAGGTGTACTGATTGATTATTTAATCTGTGGAAACATGACTTATTTATAAGTTAAAAGTAGGTTTTGAACTACCAAATGTAGCTTCCTGTAACTACCAGTACTTTTATCATTTTGTTTTTGTGCTTTGTACCAAACATTTAGTCCAGCCCTTTTCAACTGATTTTTCAGTTAGTTCTATTGTGCTGTTACACCACTGTCCCAGGTTATGCTGAGGGCAATCTGTTCACAAAATATGTTCAACCCTTCCACATTCTGTATGTGAGTGTCCCAAGTCTGGAACCTGAAGTTGTAATTTTGTTAATTATTATTTGCTTAGATCAGGCTGTAACAGATAGTTATATTTTCTTTTTTGAATAGTTATTTTTTTGTTATCCAAGGATCTTTTTGTAGCTTCTGTATGGTTAGGGTTTTTTTCATCTGAGACATAGGGATTACAATCCAGCAACATTGTACACATTTTGTATATAAAGTTTTGTATTTCAGAAGAAATAAGACCTACATGACCTAGATGCTTCATACCTTGTATGCAGATGCCTTATGCTACAAAGTTTTCATCTGTAATTTATCCATTGTCCTTGACCTCATTTTCATGGTTTAGTGACTGCTTGAAACTATAAGCAAAAGAGCCACTATATTTGGTGTATGGAATGATTGTAAGGTGTACATGCCTGACTGGCAGGTTTCGTCTGACCTTGACCTCATTTTCATGGTTCATTGGACACTGTTTAGTTTTGTGATTTGGTCTGTTTCTCAGGTACTATAAGCATATGGAAAAGGACCACTATATTTGGTGCATTAATTGATTAAAGTGTACAGGTCTATCTGGCATCTGACCTTGGCCTTATTTTCATAAATTATCAAAGTTAAGTTTATTAGGCACTTGTAGTAAAATCTTCATATTTAATACTTTCAGCATAAATTCAATCATAAGTAAAACAGGTTGAGACATTCCAGTGTGTGCACTCTGGTTTTAGATTAGTACTGTCTGTATGTGATTGTAGACAATGGTAACAATCATAGTACAAATGTACTGGTCATCTACTACAGCAGTTTGTGATAGGCTTTAGTACTGTCTGTCTTCTACAGTGTCATGTGATTGTAGACAAAGGTAACAATCATAGTACTGACCATCTACTACAGCAGTTTGTGATAGACTTTAGTCACAGTGCTGTCTGTCTTCTACACTGATATGGGAATGAATTTAAGCCAGTAGCACTAACCAATTTCTGGCAAATTTACATATGACTGGAAATCTGAAACTACAAATAAGAGGTTTCTGGATCCTGAAATTTGTTATCTAGCTTCAGGTGAACAAGCTATATTGTGTGATGTATCTTCACATTCTTTGCTCATCATTTCCTGTATACCATATATATTCTTACACATAATGAACATGTATGAAATGTGTGTCCCATTTTTGTCAGGACCTACAAATCACAGGTTCTTGGGGAATTGACCCTCTTTTTCTATACAGATATATTTTTTTCATGTTTTTTTTTTGTTTGTTGGTTTTTGATTAAAGAAATTTTCTTTGATTTTTGAATAGTGTGTTCTTGCTCTAATCCATACAATATTACAATGACAGTAGTTTATATATGATGCCCCTCTATTTAAGTTATTATATCTAAAAATATTTACTTAAAAAGCACATATAGAAAAGGGGGATCCATTCCTCAAGGGCCAGTGCTTCCTGAAATTTGGTATCAACAGTTGTGTGATCATGCTATGCAGTGTGATATGTCTTTACATCAATTGCTCTTTAACATTCTTATTACAGCATTCTTAAGCAGTGGCATTATGAGTGAGCATAAGCTCAATGTTCAACTTGTTTGTTTAAGAACACTTGTGCTTGAGGACAAAATCCTATCTTGAGCTCCAATTGTCTTTTCCCTCCATTTTTATAAATATTTCATTTTCCAATATCATATGTACAAATGTATATCAGTTTACCATATATGATCTACTGGTAATATAAAAATTAGGGGGTGTGCCCAACAATATATGATTGCTAATGAAACAATCATTCTACAGAGTCCAAATGACCTGGATTTAAGCATCTAAACGGAACTGTAGGGCCTTCAATAATGAGCACAATCAATACAGTATAGTCGGTTATAAAAAGTCCCGACATGACAAACAAAAATATAAGAGATATAAACAAGAAATTAAAACAATGACAATGTTTACTGTTAATTTGCCACTCCACTTATTCTTGGTAACGGTTGCTGTTTTCCAAACTTTATTCAACAAAAAAGACAAAACAAATGTATGATCTATGCTAAGCAAAGTTTGTAAAAATAAGGAGATATGGTATGATTGCCAATGAGACCAAATGAAGAGCATATATATAAACAACTATAGGTCACCATATAACCATTCAAACAAAGCAAAATTCATAATGTAAACAGCTGATATATAACATTCTCTTCTTTCAAATTTCCCACACATAGTCCAGGTCAACCAAACCATCTTGATTGAATATGAAATATTTGCCACTGGACATTATGCAAAATATCAGTCAATCAATATATATGTTTTACTGAAATTTTATGATCAATTTCATTTGACTATGTTGTGTCTTGCTGGGTGTTTGTTGCTTGTCATCTGGTCAAGTCAAAAGAAAGAATAAGATATATTTGCTATTAAGCTGTTTAGTGTTCAAAATAATTGTCATTTGGATCAATATGACTACACTTAGGCTATTATTTCAATAAGGTGTGTTATAGGCACTGACCATTCATCTTTAATGGAGGAGGAGAGGAGATACATGCATAACATACACGTAGAGGAACAAGATATTTTTTTTAAATCAATGTTTTGAAGATTTTTTACTATTTTTAAATTTTCATTGGAAACAAAATACCTTTAGTACTTAGTTGCCTTCTAAGTATATTTTAAAATTAAAGGTTTCAGACATTTGTTTTTCATATGACCTACACTTCAAGCCCTCTAATGTGAATAAAACATCATATAAAGGAGATTTTAGCTAACTGTTTAAGCGAATATCACCTTACGATTGAGCCCAAGATACGAGACTTGCTTCGCTTTGGATCAGGGTTTCCATTGATTATTAGGCTTTCACCTAAATATGTCATCATAGAAACACTAACTGGGGAATGGATTTATCTTTGGTTGATGCAGACATAAAATACCACAGTTTTGTATGTCTGGATGATGTGTATTCAAATTATTTTGTTCACGAGAAAAACATCTGTCTCACCTGTATGTAGATGTGTGTATTGCCATTTATTACCTTGATTTTTTTTTCTCGATAGCAATGTTAAACGTGAATGATTTTCCTGAACGTGGCAGGTGCAAATTAATACTTTGACACGTTCTGTTATCATCATACAAATTTAAATTTGACATTGTAAGAATGTAAGAATCACATTGTCATCTTCGATGTCGATTTCCGCTTTCATGTAAACAAATGACAAAAACTATGTTAATGTAATCTTTGATTTCCATAATACTTCTAAAGCTAATTTTGACAAACATTGTAGAAATATCATACATGTATAAAAAAAATCATTCTTTAAAATTATAAAGCTATAACTCGAAACAAAGATATAGATAGTTGGAAAAGGTTAATGTTTAATTTGTGTTAATATACATTTACCATGTACCAGAATTTAGGTCCGAAATAGGATAACGCCAGCACTAGACGAAGAACTGTAGATTTAAAAAAATGTATACATTAAGTAAATACGTTGACTCGCAGGTCGCTTGTACACCGGGAAATTTATTTTAAAGATTTATAGCTTGATAAATACGTATACGGTCTACAAACTCATAGATACCATGCAGGATTAAAATTGTGCACGCCAGATGCGCGTTTCATCCACAAAAGGCTCACCAGTGAAGCTTGATTCAAAAAAGTTTAAAAAGCCAAATTTAGAACGAAGTTGAAGAAAATCATTAAGACCTCTCATTGTTAAAGGTCGTACGGTAACCCGTACTTGTCAACATCCTCCTCCTTTGGTATCTAGTGGAGAGTTGTCTCATTGGCAATCATACCCCATTTCTGCAATTTTATAATCATGACAATTACTATTTTCGTTCTACTCGCGAAAGTTATTGCCAGTTGTTTCTGAGGAATCAAATGGTACTTAAAACGATTGTTATAATGCAGTTTCATTGACTACCAGTACCGAAATACACTGTTGATAACAATGACATACTTCAATACCGTATTCGTTCACTCATTTAATTCAATTTAAAATGTTTGTAGAGTTGGAATATTTTATGGAATGAGGAGGAAAATATAGCCTGCTCATGTTTAAAGATGTATAAAACAAATGAAAAATCAAAGTTTTCCGTTTTTCGGCACATTGAGCAGATTTCAACATGTATGATTTGAATTATAAACAAAAATAGACTGTTTTGTCAAAAAGTATAAAATACCAAGGCACGGTCAGACTCGCCAGTCAATAAAACTACAGTTAATATGAACTAGTACTTTTTATTAGATATTTTGGGTCTCGAGCATCACTGAAGAGGCATTACTTGACGAAATGCGCATCTGGTACAGTCAAAATTGATATTGTCAAAGTTATTTATACAGTGTACCGTATTGGGAGAACGTAGTTTATGGTGTATGGAAGTTTAACAGTTCTTTCCAGAACATTGCAATACATAGAAGGATAACACAAAACTTTGCATTTGTATGGTTTTTCTCTCAATCAGATGGTTTCAATGAATAAGGTTTTAAGCGTCTTTTTCGGAGGTCTAGGCCACAAACATAATTTCAACTTTCCATATCGCATTTCCAAAGGTAAAAAAGGTGGATCAATTTTGTCAATATAGACTATAAAACCAGGTTTAACCCTCAATTTTAAATGCCTGCACCAAGTTTCGTGAATACGATGGAATCGTTATGAAGTTGAACGTCACAAACGACGATATATATGTATTTATACATCTCTGATTAGTCCGATTTCTCTGACATCTGACGGCCTCTCAGTTTAGGACTGGCTAGGGCCGAGTTTCAATCTGATGGTTGTGTGAAAAAAGTGAGTTGTGTATCGTTTTCGGTGCCTTGATTGATTGATTTCGAATGATAAAGGTTTTATATCTTGTATGCTAGTTATAAGGTTATTTGGTTTCTTGTGGAGAGTTGTCTCATTGGAAATCATACCACATCTTAATTTTATATCACATCTTAATTTTATATTTACTGCATTGTTTGTTGCTTGCGCTTTGTGGATGCAGGAGAATATGTCCCCGTGCATGTGGTGTATGTCCTTATATTTTACAGTTACGGTTTTTGCTTGTGAGAGAGCTGTCTACATATTCCTTTATGTTCACTTGGTCTCTGGTGGAGTGTTGTCTCATCGGCAATCATACCACATCTTCTTAATTTTTTTTTATATATATATCGGCATTAATATATCAATATCAACATGATCAAAGTAATGAGATGTGGTATGATTGCCATGACACAACTATCCACAAAGGACCAGGATATGAACAACTAAACTGGTCACTTGCAGGGATTCAACAACGAGCAAACTCACTCTCAGGTTTTAATTTTAATCATCAGCACTCTCATTATCAGAGTCCATTAATTTACAGTAACTGGGGAAGTCATCCTTAACGAAACTGAAAAGGTTGAAATCTACATATTTTACATTTATATATATTAGGCGGTGTTGTCGTAGAAGTAAGCAGTGAAAAGTACAGGTTCTAGCCCAGCTCGGGAGGAAGTAAAGAATCAGATCAACTCTTTAACATTGAAAGGTTGATTTTCTAGACACTTTTATATATATTAAAAAATTTAAAGGGGGGCTTAGCTTAAAAATAAAGTTATAAGCTTTGAAGTTTCTTTAGAACGAATTTGAAGGTAGACGCATGCCTTAATTATAGTCCACCGCTACACTAACAGAACTTTTCTCTCTCCGTTATATCCCGTAACCGAATGTGGGGGTACTAAAATGTTGTGCCTGGAATGCAGGATTTGTGTATTGTTTACGCCAGACCCTCCGCAATAACAGATAACACACACTTGGAAATTCCGATCTACGGGCCTGCGTTACATATAAAATATAGACATCGATTTGTTATTTCAAAATATCGGCAACATATTTAGTGTTTTGGCAGTTCATTATAAAGCTGCATATAAGTCTGCTTCAGTGAAAGTGAGTGGAAATATGAACAAAAATCCCTCAACTGATTTATATGCCACAAATTTTTTCCAAGTAGAATTCTCTGTTGACATCGTACCGTACTACGTCGGGGCTGTTATCATGCTATGAAGGAAATATAATGAGTCCGGCATTCATGGTCCTTAATGGGTAAACATATCTAAATCCCTTATTTAAAGACTGGTTGCTATCGATGGTCGGTGCTATATATTATTTTTTTGTTGAAACTTGTACAACTCGAAACATTGACCACAACAGGCTGTATTTTTTTCTTTAAGATAAAAAAAGAAAACATCGAGGATTTTATAGTAATAATATATCCTTGTTCACATGAATGAAAAATCGAAACTATGAATAGGCGTGTCTAATATTCATTGATTACGAAGACACACCTCCTAAA